AGAATCATAGACACAGAGATGGTAAAAGAAACCATTTAGAGAGCAATTTGTTTTAGAAGTAAAACTGAATGACTTTTTAAAGAAGTATTTAAAACAATAATACAGATAGAGATGACATTTTGATTAGCTTATTTTAGGACAGTAACTTCTCTGTCTCATTTAGTCTCCACCATTCAGGACCGATGGCTCCGGCTACAGATGAAGTACACTGAATGTACGGTTGTGATCTAAATTCACTGAGTATAATCCAAGTAGCTAGGTTGCTGCTTTTAAGATAGTTAATGGATTTAAGTGATTAAATACTGTTGTTATTGAACTGTCTCCCCATGTGAACACTATTAGGCAATCCGGATGGCCCTGGTGACTCTTGAACGTGCCTTTCCTAAGCTCTAGAAAACAGCTGAGTTCTGTTGAAGCAAACAGCCTGTGATGGGAAAGAGCGGTCACCAGTGTGTACAGTGGCTACTCAATGACGGGTTTGATCTTCCTGGCCAGGGGACAGCCTAACGCAGGGGGTCACGAACATTGGGCACCTCCGGGATGGAGGTGTTATATGTGAGAAAGGTATGAGAGTTGAGCGCTGATTACTGGAGGCCACCGGGGTCAGCAGAGCATTGAGAGGTGAGATGCGCTGTGAGGAACAGTCACGGCGGTCTGACCCAGGAAATGCGAGTTCCTCTATTTACCACTCGCCAGAAGAAACCGCATTAGTTGTATGGCTTGTTTTTTATTGTGACAAGCGTCTGCAAATATGCCAGGGGAAAACACCCTGATGGAGATTATAGATAAAGGGCGAACAGGAGTGGGCTTTCAAGAGCCAGCTGAGGCCATGAAGTGATTCCCATTAGTTGTTGTGGAGACAGTAATACATTTTTTTTATGTACTGGTTGCCTTATGGGCAAGGAAAATCATAGTGTTGATTTTGAACTAATATGTTATAACATAGTTTTAACTCTTGAAGGTCGTTAGACATGGTGGTGGCTAAAGATGAAGACAGCTTTTGTAGATTTGAGAAAAGTCTGGATAACAAAGGTGAATGGTCAAAGGTTATTGTAATGAATACAAATTTTGTCTAAGTTACAGCCTTAGGAGGCTGGGGGGGGGAAATATTATTTGTTTATAGTGAGAGAGACTGCCTGAGTTGGAGGAAGGGATGGTAACTGTGTCTGTCTTTCTGTTATCGGCCTGCTAGAGCAAGCTGAAGCAAAATAATGATAATGAAACAAAACAACCCAGCTGACTTGTCTAAAAATCAAATGAATAATGAACAGATGTAAAATTAGGTAGAAGCTACAGGGAAAAATGAAAAGGTTAAAATCTTATTTAAAATTTAAATCTTTAAGCAATAATATAAAGAAAAATGAATATTGAAAATGAACAGTTAACATATGTGTGTCTAGTATGAGTGTGTGTGGTGACAGCACTTTATGTCTTGTATGTATTAGTTTGGGGCACTAATATTCCGCCTGAATGGTGTGTATATTGCGTCATTAACCTCTGGAATGAGTTTATCATTACAGATGGGTTAAGGCAAATGACAAATTTTAAAGAAGCTGATAATTCTGATGAAAAGACAATACAGAACATGGGACAAGCTTTAAGTTGATTGGCCATCAAGCTCTGTCTGGTAGTAATAATTTTGTCATACATAATGTAGATTTGAAGATCAGTTTAAGTAAATTGGAATTGTGTAGTTGTAGATCACCATCTGGCATGGGCTGAGATAAATGAAAATGTTGTAGATTTGAGGGAAACAACAAAGTGACATATTGGCTAAGTCAACATGAAATTATCAAGAGAGCCTCCCACATTTATGATTATTGTGAACAAAGGGGGAGAAATGATTGACTGACAATGACCAAGTCTGTACAGCATGACCTGACCTGAAACAATTGATGACTTTGGAAATGTTTGTAGATGACTGACTTGAGAGACCAAACAACAGGCCTGAAAAGCAAGATTCGGTGTGAGACTGAGGGCCGTTGCCTTTCAAATACTTCGATAAGAAGATGAGATTGTGGCTTTAAGTGAAGAATGTAATATTTTTGTAATATTTTTGTTTCAGAGGCAGAGAAAGATGTCTGGAGGGAATTTGTCTGAAGGAATGTTTGGATTAGTCGTAGTATAAACTGTTTAAAGTAGTAGTTTAAACTAGTAGTTTAAACTGTTGATGGCAAACTTTATCAAAAACACTATGTTAAATGTTATGTTAAATTGATGCTCGAGTTGTGTCGTGCATCAAAAGGGGGATGGTATAACAATTGCCAAATATGGTTTATTAAGGGGTTCACATTTGCTGAATAAATGTTGGGAGAACACTAGGGGTAATTGGATAAAAGCCCTGAAAGAAGCCATTTTTCTGCCTAACAAAATTTATGTCTGTGAGTGTGCTGCACACACCAATAACAAAGATTGTTTCAACAGGAAACGCCAGGGCATCGAAGGACACGGGAGAACAGTAGACAAAAGAAACTACGTACTTTACTATCTGACAATAACCTCGAAATTTGTTTCTCTTTACAGAGAGCATGCAGGATTGGGAGACAGGGCAAAATGTGCCAATAAAATAATGGCTATGGATGAATTTGGCTAACTGTCCTGGCCTGGGTTATTATTGTGGCAGAAAGGTGCCACACCTGCGCAGCGCATAAATTAAAATTTTCCTTGTACAGAATGTCAGGATGGATTGGATCAAACAGAACTAATTCTGTTCCAAATGTATGAATATTGACTTGTTAACGTAAGCAAAGTGGATATGTGTTTTTCAGGGTAAAAGGACCCCGAGTGCTATTAAGTGAGCAAGAAATTATCCGGTGATAATGTTTCAGATTGTTGAATCCACAGGTCACACCAAAGGGGACGAGCGGCAAGACAAGCGGTCACTAACAAAATACTTAAGGTCTCCATTCACAGGTGACGGGAAGCAGGAAATGGTTCATTCCAGTGGGGGTGCGGTGGTGATCTCAGGAGATCAGTGTGTCACCTGGGTCCAAGCCTCTCACCTTAGACAACACCAACAGGCCACAATCATCCCATAGTCCATGGGGCGAACGAGATGATCAACACGCCTGGAGGAGGATGTGAACCAACTAATGGTTTAAGAATGTGGTTTTGTGATTATTTTGAGGATTTTATTTGATTAAATCAAAATAGGGCTTAGTATTGATATACAGTAGATCAAAAGATTTGATTGGTTACTTATTCATTAGGAAATATTTAAGGAAAATGTTTTTGGGAAGAGAAGATCTATTAATTAATGTAAATTATAGGGATAATTGTTGAAGCTTATTAAGTAGAACCACAGCATGTTTGAATTAAAAGTTAAAGGTAAAAGAAACGGAACGTTTAACAGAAGAATCTGTTTTTGTGATGATTTTGTTTGATTGAATCAAACTAGGTATTGATTTGATTGTAAATGTAGAAAATATATTGATTGTGTCCGTAATGGAAATATTAGAGTTAATATTGAACAACTGCATTGGTTAGAAGAATGGATAAAATTATAAGACTTCTCTGGTTAGATTTTGTTAAATATGGCATTAAATAGAGCTTACTAAATTGAATTAGAAGTGAACAAAATATGGTTAGGAAAACCGAGGTGAAATATGGAGATGGGCGTAGAATAATGGAAAAGGCTTAATGATAGGAGTTAGGATTGTTATTCTAATAATTTTGTTATTCATGGGTGAATATGATTACAGTGACAGGTGAAACATGCTGTCTGTTCAATTGGTGAAAATGACAGTCTATCCCAAGGATGAACAAAATTATGTGACGATACAGGTAGCGGGAGCTACAGTGAGATATGTGTTAAATGTATGTTCTGTTTGTTTTTCTTCTATTTGTTTATTTTCTGAGAAAGATTAAGGGCAAAAGATTTAAAGAAGGTTACAAGCAGCGGTCATCCGTGTTACGAGATGGCGTACAAAGATAGGGTTTGAAACTGAGTGATTTTTATTATACTTTTATCTGTTTGTTTCCTTACTATGTTATAACTACCTTTTTCCTTACTGGCGTGACTGAGGGTCTGTTTACAGGAGCGCAGGAACAGAGATTTCTCGCTTAGCCCGGCGTCGTAAAAATGTTTACTTGCTAGCTAAAATATTACGGGGCCTTTCCCCCACAAAAACAGCCTTATGCTTCTTCATTCTAAACTTTTCTTCACAGGTTCAAGGAGAGTGATCATTTATGCAAAAATCAGAGATGAAGAGTATAAGTGTGATGATATGACTTAAAATTTGTCTTATTGTTTATTGTTATGATTATGGGTAATCAGAATGATAAAAAGCGGGAATTTGTTGTGGAAATTTTAATAGTCATTGATCCCTAACAGATATCATAAGAGAGAGAACCTATTCAATGTGTAAAATATAGATGATTCAAAGAATGTCACATGTGTGTCTCTCACTTGTAGTGAGAGAAGATTCTGTTTATGTACCTGGGGAGGCAGAAGAGGGAGACACTCCAGAGAACAGACGAACAAGGACCTCTGACCTAGATGTCAGAAGGCCATTTTGGTGCAGGGGGGCTTATGGGCCAACTAGTGACGTCTATGGAAAACTACTGGGAGGAAGGCTCTGGGGGGAAGAAGGCCTTGAAACTAAGATAAAAGCTAGTTCAGTCTGTCTGGGGGTGTGTCACTCTTCTGCACAGGGTAACAACTGTGTATTAGACTGCTCCTATTCTTGCAAGAATAAATACTTCTATTTTATATAATTTGACTCTGAGTGTCTCTTACGCAGTGATGTTTGCTTGAGATGAATTTTTGCCACAACAACACAAAAACAGATTTTGCACGGGCATTCCACTAGTTATTATCAATGTTGGAAACAGTTGTGCTGCTTCATATTTTTGTGGAAACCAGAAATGCTTTTTTCCCAATCATTATTGTAACATTATTAATGTCTTTACTGTCACTTTTGAACAATTTAATGCATGCTTATAATGTCTTTCTTTCTGACCCCCAATTTTTGAACAGTAGTGCATGTAACACTAAGTACCTTTAATGGAGATTTCTTTGCCCTGGAAGTTGTGCAGGTAGCGCAGGAGCACTTCTTTCCAGTAGCTCCTGTAACTGATGAGGCCGAGATCAGAGAGAGGCCGCTCAGGAGAGCCAACCTTCTCCTCTACTTTGGACAGCAGGTAACCTGTGCAGATACCAGCCATTCACACACTAACATGTTAATCTCTTCCATTAATTACAGCATACAAAAGTGCACGTGACCACACAGTAAAGGAGCTATTTTTAACACATTCTTTGCCTTTTAAAAAATAACTTATCATAAATTATGTAATCTGTGATTGCAATTGTAAATTTAAAACCACCTATTTGCAAGACCGATCTTTTGTTTCAGCTTAAACACAGGAATGACCAAATGTAGATATAAAAGGTCTAGATCTACTGCACTCACTGAAATCAATCAGCATCTTGCCATAACCCTGCCTCATATACTGTGGCATGGTCAGGATGCAGGAGACATTGTAGTTCAGGAATGAATTCTTTTCCTAAATCCAAATACGTATTTTAATTACCACAAAACCATCACTTGCAAGGTAACTGAAGTTTGTGGTGCACTGGATTCACTAACAGAGTACCTTGGAGAAGTATCCTACAAGATGGCAGCCGGTATTGTCAGCTTCAGTCATCACATAGAAGAGGAACGGCTCCACATCGTAGTACAGTGTTTTGTGGTCCAGGAAGAGTTTGGCAAGCAGACACAGGTTTTGGCAATAAATCTGCAAATAAAAAAATGCCAGTGTCAGTGAGGCAGAATCACAAATTAATATGTGGACTGACTGATATTTGATAATCAAGAGTCCTGGTGGAAGGTCTACCTTGTTCTTCTTGCCATCCACTTCAAAAACAGATATAGGCCCTTTTCTGTAAATCTCATCACCTGGTGGATGTTTCCACACACATTTGGCCTGATCGCAAGTGAAATAAGAGAGAGGTCTATGTGTGAATGCAAAAACACACACTTATCAACATAATGATTTAGGGCTGGGGAAAATTTATGAATCATAATTGAAGTCGTTGTCTCCTCAAGTTCAAATTTAAACTGTTATTAACTGAACATGTGAAAAAGTTACCATGTGACGTCGCAAAATAGTCTGACTCTTCATGTATTTTAGGCAGAACTCGCACATGTAGAGACGGCCAAGGCGTGCGTACTCTTCGGGGTACGGCGAGTGGTACCAAGTGTCCAACTCGTAGCGGCCGAACACAATGGCCTTTATCATGTTGCCGCCCTCTGTGACCTGTCCCTCGAGCCGGAGTTTTTCCTGCAAGGACCAATGAAGGGTGGGAGAAACACAGGTCTGACTAGAGGGAATGACCACACTGAGTTAGAAGGAAAAAACCCTGAGGTCTACCACAGAAGATTCACATGTGAGTGAGGAGGTTGAGATATACACTACCGTTCAAAAGCTTGGGATCAGTAAGATTTTTTTTTAAAGAAAGAAATTAATGCTTTTATTCAGTAAGGATGCATTAAATCAATCAGAGGTGACAGTAAATTTACAATATTTCTATTTCAACTAAATGGTTTCCACAAAAATATTAAGCAGCAAAACTGTTTCCAACATTGATAATAATAATAATAATAAAGGTTTCTTGAGCAGCAAATCATCATATTAGAATGATTTCTGAAGGATCATGTGACGCTGAAGACTGGAGTAATGATGCTGAACATTCAGCTTTGACATCACAGGAATAAATTACATTTCAAAATACATTCAAATAAAAAACAGTTCTTTTAAATTGCAATAATATATGACTGTTTTTTTATGGCTGTTTAAAAAAATCAGATAAATGCAGCCTTGATGAGCATAAAATATTTCTTCAATAACATTTAAAAAAAAATTACCAACCCTCAAACTTTTCAACGGAAGTGTACATTTTCAGAGAATGTTCTAATTAATAAACAGATGGCAATGTAGAAATTAAAGTTAAGATAGAAATCAGCTGGAGAAAATAAGAAGGTGCATGTAATGTCCACTCAAGTTAATATTATTATTTTCTCTTAAAGGAACAGCTCAACCAAAAATAACAATTCTGTCATTACTTACACACCTTCTTGTTGCTCCTTATGATTTTTTCCCCAGTCAAGCTCTAAAAGATAACGAGATACAGGTTTGAAATGTCATGGTGATTAGTAAATGACAGAATTTCTGTCCCTTTAAGGAAAGGTGGTCTTGGCAGAACAGATCAAGTATTGTGCTCTAAAACTTTGAGTGACACTCCATGCTACAGATGAGAGAATGGCAGCAGTGTGGAGGCTACAGTGGAAGAGAGTCCAGCGTGGGCCCATTGCATATCCTAGAAATCAGTGGTGCGAAGGCTCATCCCACCTGCGATCTTTACAGATTCATGAAAATGAGAGGGGAAAGGAGAAAACAAGAGGGCGAAAATGTGATGGGTCTTCTCTCTTACAAGATCATCCGAAGCACGTGCCTGGGCTTTTCTAAACAGCTCCAGGTCATAGTCACTTGTGATGTTCTCCAGCAGAGGCTCACGACTGCTGCCATGGGACGGTCTGTGCTCCTGGAGAGAGTCAAACAAGAGCTAAGAGATTGATACATGCATCTGCTGAGGGATCTTCATATATGGAGCATGTGACACCCACCATGTACTTGTCTTTTTGTGGAACAGAGTTTCTCTTCCTCCTCATCTCTGTCACCTTCTCCTTATATCGCAGCTGTCTCTCTGCTTGGGCCTGGAGGGAAGCGGTAACTCAGAGAATGTGAGTGCTAGAAACTATTTAATTGACACGGAAAGTTCATTGCACATAGAACCTGAAAGAAGCTCTTAAAGAATGTCATACAACGGGGATCATTACTAGGGCACATACCAGTTCACGAGTGAGGACGTTAAATACTTGATGTGCTGTTTTACCTGTTGCCGGGCGGAATGGCGGTTCTCATCCTGCCGCTGTGACAGCGTCCTCTCCTCCACATGTTTGTCTCGGGAGCTTGCCTTCACCTGAGTAAAATGTTTGATTTTTAGGCAAACCTTGCTGAATATAATCTGGCTAAAGGTTTCGTCGGTAACAACCCTTACCTTACACTCGTCTGCTGAGAGGTTATGGTACAGTGGACATCCAGATATTGAAAAGTGCCTTTCATGTTTCCCTGTCAAATGTCCTGAAAGAGAAATGAAGGTGGAATTTAAATATTTCAGTGTTTAAATACTGCATTAAAAAAGTCTGTAAACATAACAAAACCTAAAAAATAAAACCACTATTAATACATAAATGAATAACTGAAATACACTACCGTTCAAAAGTTTGGAGTCAGTAAGATGTTTTTTTTTTTTTTAAAGAAAGTAATACTTTTATTCAGAAAGGACACATTAAATTGGTCAAAATGGACAGTAAAGACATTTATGATTTTTTAAAAACTTTCTATTCATCAAAGAATCCTGAAAAAAATTTATTATGGTTTCCACAAAAATATCAAGCAGCTCAACCGTTTTCAACACTGATAATAATAATATTTTTTTTCTGAGCAGCAAATCATGATATTAGAATGATTTCTGAAGGATCATGCGACACTGAATACTGGAGTAATGATACTGGATAATCAGCTTTGTCATCACAGGAATAAATCGCATTTTAAAATATATTAAAATAGAAAACAAGTTATTTCAAATTGTAATAATATTTCACAATACTCCTGTTTTTACTGTATTTTGGATCAAATAAATGAAGCCTTGTTGAGCATTACAGATTTATTTAAAAAAACATATTTGGACCCAAACTTTTGAATGGTATTGTAAATATTCTTATAAATTAAAATAGAGGACCTGAAATTCAATTACCAAGTGAATTACAACCAGGTGTGGGGCACTTCATGTTAAAGTTGTAGCTCTCATGAAAGCGCCGTCTTTTGGGCCGGTGAGCAAGGCCGGATTCTTTCAGTGATAGTTCCTTTGCCAGGCTCTCATCATGAGACACATTTGGGCTGGACATGTCAATGTCAGACTCAGAGGAAGGAGCATTGCCTGTGGGCGTCCTGGGTGGGGACTCATCATGGTCTGCGCTTTGCTTAATGTCTGGATGACCAACACAACAGAAAACCGGACCGTATAAAGTCTTAGAATGTGAAAAGGTATATTCTAATCATTACATAAAAACTAAATATAAATGAAAACTGTATTAAATGTGTAACCAACTACAGAGGAAAGGGAGAATGAAACAATACCATAACAAGAGGTAAAAGTGAAAGTATAGCTAACTACATACAGTACAAACCACATCTCTTGATATTTAACATATTTATCAGTAATCTACAGTATAAAAATGATTCAATATGTGATGATCAATCTTGTTAAAAAAACTGGATTTAATAATTATAAAATGTTGATTGTCGTTGTCCTATAATTTCATGACAATATTAGCAAAAAGACAAGTTTTTTATTTTCTCCAGACAAATTTAATACATTTTTCAACTTTTAAAATTAAGTCAAATTTAACTAATTTCAAAAGGCAGGATGCCTTTGAAATGCAACATAGGGTAGTTTTATTATTGCTCGAGACAAAATATTTTTGAAAACCAATTAAACTGAGTTAACTATTTTAGGGTGTTTGTTTGTATATGTATTTATTTGTTAACAAAATTAAACAAATGGAGAGTGGTGCATATGAATTCAAATGATAGCAAATGACAATGGAAAAAGTAGGCAAAAGCCACAGAATAACATGAAATGAGATATGCATTACTTGAAATAATAATTTTTGTGCAGCTTAACAAAGAATTATGAAAATGATACAAACTGCCGTTCAAAAGTCTGGGGTCGCTGAGTTTTTTAATGTTTTTGAAAGAAGTCTCTTATGCTCACCAAGGATTCATTTATTTGATTAAAAATAAAGTAAAAACAGAAATATTGTTACAATTTAGAATAACTGTTTTCTATTTAAGTATATTTTAAAATGTATTTTATTCCTGTGATGGTAAAGCTGAATTTTCAGCATCATTACTCCAGTCTTCAGTGTCACATGATCCTTCAGAAATCATAATATACTGATTTGGAAACATTTATTAGTATTATCATTGTTGATATGAACAATTATCAAATTATATCAAAACATTTGCACTACTTAATATTTTTGTGGAAACCGTGATACATTTTTTTTCACGATTCTTTGATGAACAAAGTATTTATTTATAATAGCATTTATTTGAAATATAAATCTATTGTAACATTATAAATGTCACTTTTGATTAATTTAATATATCCTTGCCAATACAAGTATTAATTTCTTTCAAAAATTGAATCTAACTGACCCCCAACTTTTGAATCTTAAGAGAAAACCTGTGAGAAAACTCATGTTGTGTGAAGTTAACATGTTTTATGAACTCTGACTTGTCATTAATACAATTTTAAAAAAAGAGCAAATGAAGAGAAGCACATGTGAGCAGAGCTAAGCATGGAGATACTCAAATGAGGGAAGGCATGAGTGAAGAACCATGCGGTTTTCTCCTCCTACCCCTCTCTGAGATTTCCCCATGCTGCTCCGTGTCTGAGCCAGAAGAGCGACTCTGCCGCAAGGGGTATTTCTTGGGCGAGACTGTCACCCCCTGCTGTTGACTACGAGTCACACGGCGGGTGGAATAGTTCACCACCTTCTCTGAAACCGGGGCAGAAGGGTTCCCCACAGGACTGGAATCTAGAAACAAAGCTCTCAGGTTTGTTCGTTCATTCCTTCTTTTTTTTTGTTCTCCACCAATCACGCTTTCTACCAATCAAACCATCACCTATTGGTGCAAGATTACAATTATATTTTTATGTTGGGGCAAGTAAAATCACATAATAATTTCATAATTCCTACAGCCCAATGAAAAAGTAAATCATACTTTTACAGAAGAGCTCTTAGTAAGTCATATAGCAATGGCTGCTCTCTCGTGTCCTACCTTGCGAGTTGCGGCTGAGTCTCAGAGAGGATCGAGTGAGTCGGGTGTTTCTAACCGTGTGGGTGTCACTCTCTGAGCTGTCTGTGTGCTCAGCGGAGAAATCTGAATCCTCTGTACCTTCAGAGCTACTGCCCGCATTTTTCTAAGAGTCAGAAACATCAAAAACCTTTTGGTCACTGAATACAAAATGTATCTTTTTATTGTTATACACACACTGATTCATATGAAATAAAATGACCTTTAAAAGGATGGCAAGTTTTTCATAAAATTGAATACTTAATTCAGTTAATTAAGGTAACTTAACTGTAACTAAAAAAACAAATAGTTCCACTTGACTTGTGACAATGACCCTGGTGAGTTTCTCCTTATGTTTCTCAATTTAATCTCACAGACACAGGGGTTTAACTTTCAACCAGGGGTCCCAGTAGGTGCTCCACAGGGTCAATTCATTTTTACCTAATTTTAACTCATTTATATAATGTAGTAATATATGTTCATATTCTTAATAAAACTTAAGAATATTAAATGTATTATATTATCTTCAATAACAGAAAACTATATTAATAAAATGTTACTGAGCTTTTTTTTTTTACACTGGGGTCCCTGGCTTGAAGGAATCAAAATATTTGAACTAGATTAATATAAAGATGGGTGTACACAATAAACCAAAATCTAATAAAAAATGCCATGGGCTCTGATGCTTCAAGTCAGGTCAAGTCACCTTTATTTATAAAGCACTTTATTAATTTGGTGAGGAACATAGCGTTTGGCCATATGCCACAGCAGCAGACGCATAATTGATTGTTCATTTAAATGACGATCGATCATGGGCATTTGTGAAAATTGACATCCCTTCAGTTCTATAATTGAAGTTTCCAGGTCTAGTAATCTTACTGTTACCTTTCTCAGAGCAAAGGGGATTATAAGTGCTGCTGCTAATGTTTCAAGTTTTTCATTCAAGTAGTTCACCAGATAGATTATTATATGTAGACAACCCATATAGATTTTTATTTAACATTTATTTTATGTTGCTTAATGTTTGCAACAGGTGAGCCAGTGCACAATTATTTATGTATTTTAATTGTCTGTGCATAATTTATTTTGTTAAACTACATAAATGCTATTCTGTACCGTATCCCAACTGTTACAATAAAACATAATTTGAGCAATATAACATGCATTTTTATTCAGTATATAAGCAATATTTTGCTTTTTATGTTAAAGACACTATTGATACCGTGAGAAATGTACATTCTCAGGAAAATAGCCGCTTTTAATCGATCGATTAATGGTCGATCAATTAATGATTAATGAATTAATCGATAATTTGCATCCCTAATCCTGATAGTAAGATATTAGGTAATTACAATGACTGTGAGAAAAATGACCACATTCTTTCTAGCCATTTTCCTTGTATCACAAAAATACAAATCTGTCTGAACTGATGTGTGTGATAGGCTATGTGACTGCTTAAAATATTTTTAATGCTTAATGCTAGATTTTATGCTTAAAATATATAAACATTTATTTTGTATTTTTATAAAGTGTTTGTGCTTATTAAAGGCTGGAAATATCTTATTATGTAATTACACATAAATGTTCAAATTAACTGGTACATTTCGAGCCTAAATTTGATAGTTTTGACAACCATCTAGAACACATTCCCCGCACAAACAAATTAACTTGAAAAAACATGACAGTCATTTGCTAAGGATGACTGCGACGGCGCCCATGCAAACTGCTGGTTCTCGTGATGACACATGAACGAACACACACACACACACACACAGGTGAGTGATGCGAGCGCTTTATGAGCATGTACGCAGCGCAGCTGGCCTTCTTCATACCTTCCGCCGCGGCATAGCGCTTCTCCGCGACTCTCCCTCACTGCAGCCGATACACACGGGCTAATTTGCTTGGTTTCTTCATGCAGTTAGATCGAATAAACTTGTCGAGGGCGGCATATGTGATGCATTCCAGTGGAAGTGAGGGAAACATTAATCAGCAGTAAGGAAACTGTTTCATCACAGACAGTCACGGGTCACGACTGCGCGCGTCTGTTGTTTACATTCTCCACTTCCGGTACAAAAAATGTATGTAAAGGTCTCACGGAAAATGATAAGCACGATGTCATAAAAGTAACTGTTGTGTTGAAAAATATTTGGACGATTTATTTATATTTATTCTATTTTTTAACAGTTTACAAACTTCTATCAAGTAAAAACACAAAGAATGGTTTTTTATTATTATTTTTTAATTATTTTTTTTACCGTTGTGCAGTTCCTCCTTTAATACTTCTGTCGCCAGATGGCGATACTGAGTTGTAATGTCACTGATGAAGACATAAATGTTTATTTATGTTTTTTCATCGTTGAGTTTGATTTTCTAAAGCGTTCTGGAACTAGATATGAATTTTAATACATTTAAAACACTTGCTTTTCCACAGTCGATGACACCATACAATTGTTCATTTATTATGCCAAACTTGAAGTTGTGAGAAACGTACCCACCAGTTGTTATTATGTGCAACATATCATGGTAAGTTTATTGTTCAAGCTCGATTTAAAAAAAGTGTTTGATTCATAATAGGGGTTACCAGGGCTAGTTGTAACCCTTTTTACTTTTTTTTGTTCATTTTTGAAAGTCAATTTCTCTGTAGGCACACTGAACAAACATTTGCTTTTTATAGAGAGGTGTTATCACACAAAAAGGGGTAAGTTGTTGAACCTGACATGGAACAGCCTATTTTAAGCTAAATTTAAACAGTATAACAATTATGAAACACAAACCAATTCGTGTGAGCACAAATATAAAAAGTAACACAAACATATCAAACGATTATGTTGAAAATGTAATATACTGTAGTGTATAATACATATGCGTAAATTTTGACAGAAAACTTTATTCTGACTGATTCTTTATTGACTGATCTCTTTCTTTCATGGCTCTTTCAATATATTCATGATATCTCTGCTCTAATTTGTATACATCAAAGCATAAAGTAATATTTTTTTTCTAGAATAATACAAAACTGGCAAAGTGAGAAATAGTAACAGACTTAATTGGCAAAAAATAAAAAGCTTAATGTGCTTTCATTCTGTGGTATACATTTGCTAATGTGCTCTTGCAGTAAGGTACAAAACTACAAAACACAAATTGTGGTTCTAGAATTGTAGTTAGTTCACGTAATGTAACAGCGCAGCGCTTCTGTGTTGTACGTCACACACATGACCAGGGTCGGCCAATAGTGAGCCTACGTGTGACGTACAACACAGAAGCGCTGCGCTGTTACATTACGTGAACTCACTCGAGGCCCACAGAGAAGGAAATGAATAGTTGAATAAAGTCGTTATTTTTGTTTGTTTGTTGCGCACAAAAAGTATTCTCGTCGCTTGATTAACTCATGGTTGAGCCACTGTAGTCACTTGGACTATTTTAACGATGTCTTTAATAACTTTTCTGGGCCGGCAAGTTTCAATCCCTTAGAAGCCTATGGAGGAGTGATCCAGGTCTCAGATTAAATAAAAAATATCTTAATTTGTGTTCCGAAGATGAACGAAAGTCTTACGGGGTTGGAACAACATGAGGGCGAGTAATTACTGACAGAATTTTCATTTTTGGGTGAACTAACCCTTTAAACAGCAAAACGTTGATATGAAGAACCTGTTATTCTTCAAAATGACCTTCAATATCTTTGTGTGAGTGAACTTGATATGGTGAAAAAACACAGCTGCTAAGATAAATGAGTTTACAGGCTAATGAGGAATTTCCATTGGAAACATCCATTGGAAGATACTTTAGATTGTGATATGTTGTGCTTTTCCCACTTTCCTTCCTCTTTAATTGATTAAAAAACATGCAGAGTACTTTATCAAAAGGGGGAAGGAAGGTAAACAGGACTGAATCTCTTACCATCTTTTTAGGGGGTCGCATCCCTGCAAAATCGGCAGCAGTGATGTGATCATGGCGTAGTAAAACCCCTGCAGCTCCCATCGCATGACCCGAGGGACTTCCTTGAAGAGGGGACAGAATCCGCTGTGAAATCTGCTTTTGATTTAGTGTGTTGGTTTGTCTATAAAACGAGAACCATCAGGAGACACTCACCAGTGCCAGTCTTGCAGGTCATGGGGAACCGTTTAATTTGTGGTAGAGTCAAGTTGCCATAATAAACAGTTTCTTTAACCCACCAATAAGGACGCTTGCTAAACATTAACCTATTTAATGATTTAATAAATAGATCAGATAAGAGGACATTTCATGAAGATAAATTCTTTACATTACAACGAAAGATGTTCAATATTGAGAGATTGCTTTATTTGCTTTTTTAATTTTTTTCTTTTAGCATCTTCTAAAAGGGTATTCCTGGATATTTACTGAAACAACAACATTTACCACTTACCACTTGAGGACTAAGTTGAGCCAGTCTCCTACAACAGCAGCCCAGACCAGCTTCACTCCCACTGCTGATTGTAGGTGGAACCAGATGGGAAAAAAGAATAAAAAGGTTGTACGCATGTCTGCCACAGTACACAAACATAAACCAGCCTTGGGCATGCCCATAATGGGTCTGCAGGTATAACGTACTGCTTATCCCATACCCATACAAGACGTCCATTACTACTGTCGGTCTGCTATAAAACATCAGTATTATGGATCTTCATTCTCAGTCTATGGATAACGTTGTCAGTCTCAGCGAACACAATACACATTTTGTAAAATCTCATCATCTTGTTTTCCGTGACTTGAATCCAGACTGTCATTGCAACGACGACCTGCTTGAATTCAGTCTGCTCCTTTTATCTATCCTCTCAGTTGCCTGGTCACTGGGCACCACCTGAGCTTTGGACTCTCTGAAGTAAATAGAGGGAAAATTGTCTCTACGCTGGTCATTAAAGGGGGCCTGTTTTGTGCATGTGTGTAAAGTGGCAGGTTTTGTGCGCTAAATTTAGCTTTCGATTATGAGAAAGACACTTGCTAGTTGTGTGAGGTGATAACATGGACACGTAGGGCTCCTGATTCTTTAGTCCACACACACACACACACACACACACGTTTTTAAAAGAAGTCTCTTCTGCTCACCAAGGCTGCATTTATTTGATTAAAAATACAAAAAAAAACTAATATTGTGAAATATTATTACAATTTAAATTTGTTTTCTATGTGAATATATAGTAAAGTGTCATTTATTCCTGTGATCAAAACTTAATTTTCAGCATCAATACTCATCTTCAGTGTCACAGGATTTTTCAGAAATCGTTCTAATATCATGATTTGATGCTCAAGAAACATTTTCCATTATTATCAATGTTAAAACAGTTATTTACATTTTTATTTCAGGATTCTTTGATGAATACAAAAGATTCTATTTCAAATAAATGTTGTTCTTTTGAACTTTCTATTCATCAAAGAATCCTTTTTTTTAATTCCACAGAATTTTCAACATTGATAATAATAATAAATGTTTCTTGATCATTAAATCATCATATTCGAATGATTTCTGAAGGATCATGTGACACTGAAGACTGGAGTAATGATGCTGAAAATACTGCTTTGATCACAGGAATAATTGACATTTTAAAATATATTAAAATAGAAAACAGTTTATTTAAATTGTCATAATATTGAACAATATTACTGTTTTTTTTTTTTGTGTGGTATTTTTAATCAAATAAATGCAGCCTTGGTGAGCAGAAGAGACTTCTTTTAAAAACATTAAAAATCTTACCTATCCAAAACTTTTGAACAGCAGTGTATAAAGGTTGGGATCTGTACGTTTTTTTGTTTTTGAAAAGTATCTTATGCTCGCCAAAACAGCATTTGATCAAAAATACAGTAAAACAGCCATATTGTGAAATATTTTTTACAATTTACAATCTAACTGTTAATAAATTTTAAAATGTAATTTATTCCTGTGTTAAATTAGATGTTTAAATCTAGTCTTCAGCATCACATGATCCTTCAGAAATCAGTTATAACATGCTGATTTGCTGCTCAAGAAACATTTATTATTATTCGGTCACTGCTGCTTTCAAAGGATTAATGTATTGACTACGTTTCGACCCGAAGGTCTGTTTACTCTTTGTTTACACTGAAATGCTTGATTTGAAAGTTTTCTGGATGTGCGCATACTACTACTTAGAAAATTTTAAAGAACATCTATTTGAAATAGAACATTATAAACATCTTCACTGTCTCTTATGAGCAATTTAATGCATCCTTGCTGAATACAATTTTTATTTCTTAAAAAAACATGACAAAACAAACAACAACAGAAAAACTTACTGACCCCAAACTTTAAACGGTATAGTCTAATGTGTATTGTATTGAAATTTAGGGGAAAATGATGTGCTATGACAAGAAATTGTGTACTGTATAGCTCAGTTCTGGTTCTCTAGTGTGGCCGTCAAATGAAGAAGAACCAGGAGTTTGACTGAGACTTTCACATGACATTGTTTACCTTGACTTGATGGATAATTTCCAGAAACCCAGAGGCCTGTTCGTGTGAAGACTTACAACTTTGTGAGATGGCAAATTTTCCATTGGCTTCCAGAACTTCTGAGAGCAGTCACTAGAACTACTCAACCATGTGGAAAAACAAAGATAGAACATGTCCAGAGTGGACTGTAAACAAGAACACTACCTGCAGGTTGTTAAAGGGTCATGAAACCCCCCTCTATCAGCTCAAGTCTAGCTCATAATCTTTTTGAAAAATGCAACTTAAATGGGCGTGGATGGCTATGAGAAGAAGGGAGGGAGTGGGTGTGGCACGGCAGGGGAGAGGGGGAACTGTCATCAGCCAGCAGTGTTGCCAGATGTACGATAATTATCGTATTTGTACAATAATTTTGACCTCTGTACAATGTACGATCAATAATGAACAATAATCTCAGAGTTTTCAGTCGTTCGTCCAAACACACATCCTACCGCTTCTCCCCCCGACCCCGAATCATTTCGCAGGCTCGCCTGCCTGCACGTACACACACACACACACACAACACGGTGTCGCCCGGCCCGCACGTCAACACTACACATTCACAAGTCTCCCGCATTAAGCATACAATTGATATATTATCGAAATATCTCAAATGTTCATAACGACCGCTTATTTAACAAAATGCAAGTAAAATGACCAGGGTTACATTTTAGACACACACTCTGAAGGGATAGAAAAGTCCTCAGGACTTGGTACCGCATTACTCGCAAGACGTAACTTGCATTGGTCATCGACAAGGCCGAAGTCCACCATTCTCCTATTCTCGAAGCTCTCTCGGGTAAAATGTTTAAAGGGTTAGTTCGCCCATTTAAGACATGAAGTTGTATGCAATCCTTACCAGCACTATAGTGCATACACACTGACCCACTCTGTTGTCACCTCCCTGGTCAGAGTTCTGGCCGCTGGAAGTTTTTCAATAAAGTACTCCCGGTTATTTTCCGGGGCCACAAAACTGTGCGTTTTTACGTGAAAAAATGATTTGCGTTTCAAAGCTTGATTAATTTACCACACAAAAAACACGCCGGTCAAAATTCATACCTCAGTTTGAATCTGCACTATTTTCTATCCATTTCTATCAATCCGCGCTGCTGCTGTCAACGTCAACAGTGCGCACGTTCCGATCTGCTGTAGTGTTTACACAATCGATTGACAACGACGTAAAAAGTATTAAATTAACAATTTAAAGTGCGAACTTGTAAATTCCCAGGCTGTGAACACAAGGATGTGCCGGGATCAAAGTTCAGATTCCATCGTTTTCCTGTTTCGAATATAACTAGAGACAGCTTACCGAGCATAATCTCCATCTGCTGTTAGTCGATCTCACCAGCAGGGGGTGCAAGCGCTTGTTGTTGGCTGGTTGCCATCGGCTACTCTGCGGGAGCTAAAATATCCAGAATAAAGGATTTTCGTGTGCGTAGTGCTCACTTCAGCGAAGACGATTACATCCCCAACCGGGAGGAAAAGGAAAATTAAAGAGTTTTGCTGTACCAGTAACACGGGTAAGCTCTATTTACTAACTTTATTATCCCATGTCTAAACTGTACGGTAAACAAGCTGATGTTTAGACTCCATTATAAAACACGTGAAAAGATGTCTAATATAAAAACATATAGGGATATTGGTACAATTTGCTGAGAAAACTATTTGATTGAACACACACACAATTGAGGTTTTGTGTTGCAATCAATAACATTGTCGTTGTGGTAAAATTACTTTAATCATCTGATCCGTCTGACATTGTGCTAAAATTGGTTTCATCATCAGAAGTTTCCAAGTTTCGCAGTCAGACATGTTGTCAGCGAGTCGCACTATCAACAGCTGATCGGAACGTGCGCACTGTTGACGTTGACAGCCGCGCGGATTGATAGAAATGGATAGAAAATAGTGCAGATTAAAACTGAGGTATGAATTTTGACCGGCGTGTTTTTTGTGTGGTAAATTAATCAAGCTTTGAAACGCAAATCATTTTTTCACGTAAAAACGCACAGTTTTGTGGCCCCGGAAAATAACCGGGAGTACTTTATTGAAAAACTTCCAGCGGCCAGAACTCTGACCAGGGAGGTGACAACAGAGTGGGTCAGTGTGTATGCACTATAGTGCTGGTAAGGATTGCATACAACTTCATGTCTTAAATCGGCGAACTAACCCTTTAAGGCACTTGCGTCCCATGATGGTCTCTCTCCTTTACTACGCGATATCACAGTTTGACATGTCTGTGGAAAGATCCACGTGGTGTCATGAATAATTAAGAGACCGTGTCTTCTCATAGGATATAAAAACTCAGTCTCATTAATAATTATGAGAGACCGATGAGTCATCAACGCACTACACTGTGCACTGCCACGTCACAGCCTGCGATGAAGATTTTAAACCCGGAAGACGAAAATAGCTGGAAAAAACTAAAATTTAACCATTTTCGCCCTACTATTAAATCTAACAGATGCTAACATTGTCTTCAATGTTGTTCAACACACATACCTCTGTTAAAATCTCAGAAAATTTGGTTTAGGGTTTCATGACCCTTTAAGAGCTCGGCAATGTTTACAGATTCCATCTCTACGGAGACATGCCTAGTCAATGTACAACATGCTGCATTGATAGACATTGTACTACCATAATAAAATGTCTCCTTTGTGATGCCTTCTTGCATTTTAGCATGTTTTGCATTTTGATTTCTGTCAAACATGCATTTTAGGCCTACTGCAGTCAACAGTTTTGTTCAAATGAGCCAAATGTAGCTCGCATACACAGGAAGACATACAGGAAGTGCTCAGTTCAACAAAGGGCAGGGCAATCTCACGCTGTCTGGTCAAGTCCAGTCTCTGAGGTCTTTCCCCCACAAAACAGCAGATAACCAAAAAAACAACAATAACAACGGCCAGTTCCTGTGGGCATTCAGCTTTGAAAATAAATACTGTATACTGTCCACCACACGTTCTCCTGAAATGTGTGAATTTATATTTCGTTATATATATGCTGGTCTGGAAAACGAGATGTTCCAGTGAGAAAGAAGATCATCATAAACGTAAAATGGAGTAGAGTGTATGTAAGATCTTCTGTCTCTGAGCGTGTTGGATGATAAGGAGATATGTTACAGAGTGAAACAGCAATTTTCTTAGTCAGAAGCACTTGCTTTGCTTTCCCTCTTTATGGTAATATTTTGCATGGTAATACACGTGTTTGATTGTGTCAGTTATGCATAAAGTTGAAGGATATGTTTAGTTTGTTTGCTTATGTGTTGGTTTTGCATATCATCATTGATCATGAAAATATTAAAATAACTTTTTCTTTTCAGAGTCCTCATTATGCAGTCAGCCTTTGCCTTTGATTGACCGCTGAATTGAACTGTAACTGTGCAGCCCACAGTTGGATATCATGATCTATTCCCAGTGGGAGTGCTGAGAAAGTTAAAAGCAGCAGCTGTAGAGCTTGTGCAACCCTTGGAACCTATGGAATTCAAAGAACAAGCCAGAAGACATTACTCTTTCTGAGATTTCTCAGAATTCTTGCAATGATACACAACCACTTATCATCCCTCCTGTGAAACTATGGGGAAGACAGCAGAGCTTGGATAAGTTGATTCTGTGCTCTGTTGAAACAGGTCTTAACGCAGTATTATTGCAGTAATATTTATAAGCTACAGAACAAGTAAATTTTGCATCGTATGCTGGATCAAGTCTTCAAATAAAAGTATTCCCACCCAACCCATTTTCATCCCTTAACTGAATTACAAATCCTACATTGTTTTTTCTAAGCACTGTAAACCAGTCTCCCACAGTCTCAACCAATCTTTTTTTTTTTGACATTGTTTATAGTTTGAAAACAGATTGATGGGGCTGCAGAGTTCATTGGCTGGGAATGATGTAAAGATATACCAGTCTACTTAAGGAGTGTACAAGAAATTAAATTACTCAAAGAAAAACATGTAAAAGCACGAAAACAAGTAAAAGCACAGCTGGAGTTAAACTGTTGTATGGTGCAATTGGTCGTCTTCTTAAGAGAAGAAAGTACAAATATCTAGCAAATTACAAAGAAATGCTGCAAGAGATCTAGTCTTAGTGTGATTAAAAACTGAAATCCTAATCATACCAAAAAGAGAGAAAGAAGTAAAGCTGCTATTGTTTCAAAATAAAAAAGTTCTATAAAATATCAAGGCTTGATTATTAATCCAGCAGTATATTTAATTTCCCCCTCTTTTTGTTAAAACATCAAATTAATTTTTGAATATCAGTGTTTTTTTTAAATAAAAATCACATACAAAATGTGACCATAACAGAACCATGATATTTGTTTGTTTTTCTTCAGGTCTCTCTGGATATTGACAGAACTGTCTGTTCTTTGTCAGCAACTGCTTATTCATCACTCTGACAGTCTACTTTGAGTTCACACAGCATGTCACAAACACAGCACATACTCTAATTAATATAGTCTCACTGTGTTTGTTCAGAACACCAGTTTGTCTGTTTGTAGATATCAAATGTTGTTTTATTGTTTGTAACTGTTTGAAATGACACGTGAGACACATTGTTTGAATCTGAGAGGTTGCAGGACAGTAATACATTCTTTTACCTTATATAGGGAGAATGGGCTTGTTGTTACACAGGTTGTTACAAGGGCTATAGGTCTATCTCACGATAACTATAAAGAATTGAGTCAAATGACTAATTACACAAATGTATTTGACAATTTGGAGCAAATTGTTACATTTTATTAGGACAGTTTGTCATGTTTTTATAAATGTATGCAATAAATGAATTATAATATTTCATAGCCAAGCTCTGCGATGGACTGGCCCCCGATCCAGAGTGTTCCAGAGGATAAGAGGATAACAGAAGATAAGAGGTATGGAGAATGGATGGATGGATTTCTTAGTCAGAAAAATTTTTGTATGTTACTTTTTGCTGTTGCATTTTTTTTTCATTGGTTTTGTTTCATAATTGTATTTCTGCTTAAATTTTGATGTGTTCATTTGTGACAATATGCCCTACAAAGGCAACAGTACATTGAAAATGGTTGATTTTTTGTAGTAAGAAGTTCGACAACTAGCCCATGCTTCTCCCCTGTATATATATACTGTATATATATATATATACTGTATATATATATATATATATATATATACTGTATATATATATATATATACTGTATATATATATATATATATATATATGTGTGTGTGTGTGATGGCTTCATAGAGTTCACATACAGTATCTCATAGGACGTAACTCATTGCAAATGTTTAAGGAGTAGAGTAAAGTATATGTAAACTAAGATTACATGGGCGTAACTGTCACGGCTTCTGCTCTCCAAATGTACCATCTGGAATTCATTGACTGCTGAGATCTTAACAGAATAGCTGTATACGGTATGTTTATGTGGGGGAAGGGTGTCTGTTTGAGACAGATTTGGAACAGATTTGGAATTTGTTTAATATATACATACATTAGTCTTTACTTGCATGTATACCTTGAAATAAGAGGCAGCTGGGGGCAAAATAATCATCAATCCTGGAAGAAGTTTCTCGTAAAATGTCAGTTCTCATAATTTATAGCCCTCTGACAGGTCATGCTCTTGTGTTTGGATTCCTTATCTGTTCAACTGTAAAACCAGGCCTGTTTTGTATGCATCTGCTGGTGGCTAATAAGGAATCTGAGACTTTAATTCAACAGTCTCCTATACAAGTAGAGAGTACGTGTGTATGTGAAACAAGCCAAAAAAAATACTCGAAGGAGACCGAATGCGCCATTAAATGATTGCACCTGACCTGGTAGAGCATGGCAATAGCAATGCTAAGGTCACAAGTTAAATTCCCAGGGTATACATGAACTGAAAAATGTATCCTGAACGCATTGTCATGATGACAAACCTGCGCCGCATGTGTAATTTGAATTTTTGAGGGTTTTCAGTGAATTCAACTAATTTTAGTATGTCCTTCAAAGCTATCATATTCAAAAGATTTTGAGCACGAGTCTGTCATATTGAGTTTTTATGTTGCTTTTTTGTTCTTGTTGGAACTATTGAATGGAAAACACCTGCAAGAAGATTTTTCAAAACTCTCCTTTTGTATTCCACAATTTTTTTTTCTTCGAATATGAGTGTGACTGTAAGTAAATGGTCTCTGCAAGTTGCTTTGGTGCAAACGATTCATTTAAAGTCCCCCTATAGTCAAACCCCCCTGTTTTATCCCTTAAAACTCATCTTTGATCACCAAAATGACATTTAAATCATTTTTCCTGTAAAAAAAAAACTCTACAACCTTGCTTCATTTAGAATACGTGGATCCTGAATATGGATAATATTAATATTATGGTAATATTACATAATTATATGATCAGCCTTTTGCTTGACTATGTTATCAAACAGCTAATAATGTGTTGCTAATGTTACACAAACCATGTTCCCGTTCACCATCTCAGAGTCAGACAGCTGCCTTCTAAACATCAGCATCCTTACAAACGCTTTGAACAACTCAAAACGTCAGTGAAGAAATGCATATAGTTCATCATAACATCGTAATATACATCATAGGTAATTCACCTGCTATATTGCTAAATGAACCAGATTTTACAGAAAAATACACCAGGATAACCTGGCTTCTTTTGAGATGCCTCTGCTTCGCAGCATGATGATATGCTAAAGCCCGGTTACAAGGTAGTTTGTGACGTAAGAAACACCAGCGATTTTAAACCGTGTTTTTGAGACTGTCTTTGGTTCACTGCATTTAAAGGAGAAAATACTCAGCAATGGTGTTGACTGATGACTTTGGTTTGTCTTAAAGCATATTAAAAACACCACATAAACTTAAACCACATTAAAAACTTGATTTTCACCACAGGGGGACTTTAAAACGTAAGTATGTGAATGTCATTTCTGTGCTTGAAATGTGGACTGCTCATATTGTAGTTATTGTTCTTATTCTTGTTATAGTTAACAGGTCTTAACATTTGAAATTACAGCCTTGGTATACTATTATTTTATTTAGAAATGAAAGCATGATGATTGTGAGGAAAAAGTATGACCAAAATAACCAATATATAGTCACCCTTTACATTTTATTGCATGGATGAACATTTTTATAATAAAAAAGTGAGCTTAGTGAGGCGTTTTATCAGTCTATCTAATATAAATCTCTCTTTTTTATAAATCTCTTTTTCTATTTTTAGAAATAGTTTACACTGTTAGAAAATGACCCTTCACATGAACTTTAAAATGCAAAAAATAGATAGGATATAGGAAATAGAAAGGATATGCTAATTTACTAGTCTAATTAAAACAAGCATCAACTAAGAAAACACCAGAAATGGTCATCACTTATGACAACAATAATTTTGACAAAGACAAATGGAGAGAACATCCATAATATTTACAAAAACAGCAACAAAAGCAGTGAACAACTTGACAAAACAACTTGCTAGTGTAAAGTGAGTATGAAGAATATACTACTGCAAATGTTTTAGCAAGACTGTAACAGCATACATATCTGGATTAAGATCCTTACTCAAACTTCATAACACCTTCAAAGCCGTGGTAAGTGAACGGCTCCAGTGTGGAACTGCATTGATCCTTTTCCAGACACGCCATTTTGTTGTACTCACAGTCACTCTCCGAGCCCTGTCCAAAATACACTCCATCAGGTGAGTTGATGGATGGATCTTCATCAAAATAGTTGTGCGGTCTAAGGATGACGCCACCACCATTGCCCACTGTAACTGTGTTAGGGATGTCTTCGGCATGCGGAATGTGCAGGAAACCAGCGGTCACCCAGGCTACCAAATCCTTAAGAAGACATAATAAAGATCATTATTTGAACGAATGAAACATATCTGATAAATAAAAATATTCTGATAAAGCTGTCTATCAATACCTCATTGTCGATCACCTCGTTATCTTCAATATATTTGCTGAAGTCAACAAATGGGGACCACATGTAATTCTGATTGTAGAGACTGCTACTAGTCTGCTCTTCATCTTTATGCTTGGTTATAGCAACTTTATACCTAGAAGAAATAAAGTGAATGTGAGAGAAGCTAAAGCTAGAAACAACACATCTAAAACATGCATGTGTCTCAGTATTGTGGCATGACTCAAGACACTGAGGCCTTACCGTGCCCAGGACATGGACCTCTCTACAGACTCACTTTCAGGGAGGTGATCTCCAGCAAAGCTCACCACCTGAAGCCTGTAAGAGCGCTGATGGCCCCAGCGATTGGTCTGATTACTGGCAATATGAAGGTAACGGGGTGTTTTGGCGTTATGAAGCATCGCCGCTTCTTTCTCTGTCCTGATTTGCTGCTCCACCAGTTGTGGTATCTTTGCTTTCTCTGAGGGCATCCATGGCAATGGCACCTCCTCATATATCATGTCTTTAGTCTGAAATATATTCTTCACACCTTCAAAAAAGAAAGAAAATGTTTTAAAACTGTTTTGTGACTTTCAAAAGTAGATATTCATGTGGTATTCTCTGCAAAAGACGGTCTAAATTAACATTTTTATATTTCTTTGTGAGATAATTTTTAGATGACCAATATGTAGGAAGCTAGCAGCCAGACACCTGTAGAAAAAAAAAACATTCTTTCATCATTTACTCACCCAATTGTGTTTACACACAATCAATGTGTGTAATTAAATATGGTTACACTTTTTTTATTTTAAGGTGTCATTGTTAGAGAGTAATTATATATTTAAGTACTGAGTAATATTAAGTAGCCTAACTATACTTATAGGGTTAGGGTAGGATTAGGATTTGGTTGAGGGTTAGTTGCATGTAATTATGAATAATTTACAAGGACACTGTAAAATAAAGTTACCAAATATGATTCTAACTAAGTTATTTCAGCTCCATTAGGTTAAATGTGCTTGATCATTTTATGGCACTTACCTAAGATATCCAGGTCGACTTTAAAGTTAATAAAATGTGTATGGATATTTCCAAGGACATTCTCTGCAACCTGGTGCCCGTACTTCAGATTTCCATCAACCTTATAGGAGGATGATATATAGCCCGTGGCGTGAACTCTCGCCTCCACGGAGCCGCTTTGATAGAAAATGAAGTCCCATATGTAGTCGTAGTTCCCAATAGCAGTAATTGTGCGGATCACCAGAGCGCTGTTTGCCATCCCACCGTAACCATTATGAAAGAAATCTGAGAAGTGTCGTCGCAGAGGTCGCCCAATGTCATGCTCAAAAACACAGATGGAGTTTCTGAAACGCTGCGTGACGTTTGTGTCAATATAGCGGTACGTGTCTACATAGGTGGCAGCGTACGGACAGTCGATCCCACGCACGAGCTCGTGAGCGAAGCGACCGATTCCAATACTTGAGTCGAGGAACTTCGTGAGCATCATCCCAGGCGTTACAGAACCGTAGACAGACATCGCCTCCTGCACGCTGAGTTCGTACGCAATCCTGTCTCCTTTAAAACGAATATCAAACACCCTCATCCCAGTCAGAGAGCTCAAACCAAACGCAAAGCTCCAGTCCAGATAAATCACCTGGTTGTTTTTAACGCTGTAACGTTTACCTTGAAGATAATACTGTTGTGGTCCTAAACCAGAAGGTTTTTCCCTTGGCTTCAGCGAGGCGTAGTTTGGGATATTTTTGTTGACTATCTTTTTTATACTACCCGCTTCGTAATCTACAATAAATTTGTCAATGCTTTCGAAATATTGGCCGTTGTACATCAACTTGTCAATCGTCCAGTGTGACGTGTTGCTGCTTTCGTGATTGATCAGCATCTCGAAGCCCACAGGATGGATGTACATGCCATTGAAATCGCGGAAAAAAGAGATCCAGGTCCTACGGTCACCACTTTTAATGCCCCTCGGCATACACTCAAACGGGAGCAGTTCACGTTTTTTGGGGATATAACCAAAACTTTCCCTTAAAGGTTTTTCAAGTTTTTGGAAAACTTGATTAAGCAGGTTGAAGAGCTTCACATACTCCCCAATTGTCACTGGTCGGGCTGTGAAGGGCAACGTCGGCGTATTGTATTTCTTCTGAGTAACATCTCGATGCTGCAGTGGACCAGGTAACGGTCCCACCACATATTCCTTTAGGTAACCTCTTTCGCCATTGAACACCACGACGATCGCTTCGCGTGCGGGCTTCTGTCCGTTGGCATCCAAGTAGCGCAGCACATCAGCCTTCCTTGGGAGCGAGAGGTCAATTAAAAAGATAAAACTTTCAGAGGGCTTTGCTATGAACGAACGGGAGATCTTTAAATCTTTTTGAGCCCACATGTAGTCGCGAACAGACTTGTACTCCTCTGCTGTCAGGTCCGCAAAAACCAGACTTTTATTTGAATGTTTGACTTGTAGAGATTCTTGCGGCCGGGACATAGTACATTTTGGAAGCCTATTCGAATTTAAGCATATCAACACAATGTTGATGATCACTGAGATAAGTCCCACAAGTATCAATAAGTATTTCAACAGAGAATTCATTATTGTAGCGACCAGTGTCTCTCTAGTGTTCGAGGGCAACGCTCGTCTCGAAAGTAAGAGTGCAGAATGGATCTCATACTGGTAGTGAGTGTTATAACCACACCCCCCTAGAGTGCTCCCCTAAAGTTCACACACGAGCCTGTGTTATAAGTTGGGGGGGGGGGGGGGGGGGGGGGGGGGGGGATTTTTGTATATATTTTTTTATATATAAGGCACTTAAATGCTAATTTCTAAAGACTTATGGGAACAGACTGCATTACTTAGTTTGGTTCAAAGCAGTGATTTTTTTTTTAAAAAATAAACCATTAAATGGCACTTTCTGGAGAGTTTTGTGCAAAGAAATTGAGAAAATGAGTCTTACATGATATGTGAAAAACTGCAAGGTTAAGAGTATACTTTGCATTGTTGTAGTATCAACAGGTATTAGGACATTTAGCATTTACATTACTGTTCATCAGTCATGTACTGATTAACTAAAATTAAAAACTCAAATAAATGGTTGATTTAATTTCCATTAACCACCTAGCTTACCCCCAAGGATAGATTGAAAAATAAAATCATCCTTGTGGAAAGGTTCCTTGGTAGCTAAAAGTAGGTCTAGCAAGTCTTATATTTCTGTTATTCACACAGATCAAATACAAATATGCTGCCTGAATAGATTGCTAGTTTATTTTGAGTAGCCAGCTAGCAGTTCTCTTGGGAGTTTGCTAATAATCCGGTGTCTGAAGTAAAATGCTCAAAACATCTCATGAGAAAAATCACATGGCCAACCTAGTCTTGGTTATTTAATTTAGATTTAGTCTTATTTTCCTTACCTTGTCATTCAAGGCTAGTGCACTTTATGTAGGCTACATTTCTGGAACTTTTGCACGCTTCCACATCCCGTGCAACTAGGATCTCCCAGGAACACTCATTATCGCTGCGTACATTTATCCGTGTCACCTAGATGCGCATGCTCCTACGTATAATGGCTCCTACGCCCCTGTATTAGCCTATGCTCATTCATTCAAAAGTTGCCAATAAAATCCAGTAAATATATTTTACAGGCAGTTTTTTTTGTAATTTCACTAAAGTACAGTATTTACCTATGCTGGTATTTACCTGGCAACTATATTTGCCAATAAAATCCTGTAAATACCACACAATCCAAGATTATGTTGTTAAATGCTGTTTAAGAATGCTGTAAAGAATCGTTTTAACAGTAAACTGTAATACACGGAACACTATCTGAATATATATTTAAAAATGAATAAAACCATAGTGAATGTTGCAACTTGCAAGTAGCCTAAATATTTATTAAAACTGGCAGCAAGGCATTGCAAGGCTTTTACTGGTAAAATAAAATTTTCAGTCTTTCAACTGTTAAAATCTTGTAAAAATTACATAGTAAAACAAAATAACTAAAAAGTTTTTTAAAAGCCATTTTAATTCACATGCTGAAAAGAACATCACCTTTCTATAGAAATTAAAGTCAAATATAGAATTTGTTGGCATTTTGGTACCAACAAAAAAACAAACAGTTTGACTCCTGTTGAAACTCACTGTAACTCAGATTTTTTTAAAGTAAAGGATTATAATAAAATGTTATAATCAACATTATGCCACAAATTCTGTTGTTTGAGCTTATCTTCTGATCACAAATAAAAATTCTGTCAATTTCTCACCCTCATGTCGTTACATCAGAACACAAATGAAGATCCTTTTGATGAAATCTGAGAGCTTTCTGTCCCTCCATTGACAGCCTACGCAACTACCACTTTCAAACCCCAGAAAGGTAAAGACAGCATTAAAGTAATCCTGTTACTCCAGTGGTTTAACCTCAATTTTATGAAACGATGCTTCATAAAATCGAGTGCACATAATTTACTACTTTACTTACATAGTAATCTCGGACGCGCGTTAACGCAACAATGTCTGCTCTTTTGCTTCAAATTAAATTTTTTTGCACAAACAAAGCACTTGCGCCGCTTCATAAAATGGAGGTTAACCACTGTCTGGAGTCACTGGATAACTTCATACTATGCTCATATTTTCTGTTTTTCGTCAACCAAAGCTTACTGCTCATACATTTTTAACAAACCATTTTGTCTCCCCTCATGTTACTGTGTAAACAGCGAATGAATGCTCTCTCTACAGGAAGTTATCTAAATAGAAAATTTACTGAATGCAAAGCGAAATGAAACAGTAGCAAACAGCAGCATCCATCCATGTTAAAATTTGTATATAATACGATGCTTTTCGTAAATTTTTTACCTTGTTTGTGTTCGTCTCACCATGGCGATGTCGTGTTAGCACGCTATTGTGACACAATATCGCTTAGGCTACATGAAATGAATATAAAAAGAATATGAATATAAAATAATATTCTAAAGTTTAATTAAGGGAATTTACCAGGAATTATGAATGCCTCTAATCTTCAATCGTTCTCGCACTGCTCCAGTCAACTGGATTTCAAATTTGAACAAAGCCTGCGCAATCCCATAATACCACACTACAGTAAGTTATTGTAAAAACGAATGAGCTACAGTAACAACACCTCCTTCTACAGTTGACATGGAAATATACTGTTAACAACTGTAAAATGTTGTCTGCCAGGATGCAGGTTTAACTTCCAATGAAGACACAATACTTGAATTATGTCAGTGAAGATATATATGTGTGTGTATACTGTATGTGTATATGTATGTAATGTATATATGTGTGTGTGTGTAGGCCTGTCAGAGGCAAGCTATAAAAGCTGTGTGTGTAAACTTCACTTCAAGATGCGCATTAGCAACTGACGCTAGGGACTAGTGTCCATGTTAGCATGTCAGTCTTCCATGCTGGAGAGTGGAGACCCTGGTTTGAATCCTGCTCGGAGTGGGTCGAGTAGGAAACTGCGTTTGCTCACAATATTTTTTGTAAACGCGAAGTTTCTCGAGGGAACGCAAAACATTTTGCGAGGGAACGTAAAGTTTCTCGGGGGAATGCAAAACCTTTGTGAGAGAACACAAAAGCATTGAGAATATTTTTTTCTCCCATATAATTTTTCCTCCATCATGTCCCTTCAGGGGCTTCGTAGATTCCACAGTTAATGTGTGCAGTTTTTCTTTGCTATATGCTTTAAAAGAGTTTTCTCTTGTTTGTTCAGTACATTTTTTTGATTGCAGTCTTTTTTAAATAAAAGCAGAAAATAACTAGATTCCGTGATTAAGTGTGAGTAATGCTTTTTTCCCCACAGCATTTAAGCAGGCTCGGGTAACCCCACTGCTTCAGAAACCCACTCTAAATCCAGCACATCTAGAAAATTACAGACCGGTATCCCTTCTTCCTTTCATTGCTAAAACACTTGAATGAGACATCTTCAACCAAGTCTCTACCTTTCTTACACAGAACAACCTCCTGGACAACAACCAGTCTGGTTTCAAAAGCGGACACTGTTACGGCTGTGCTTTGTGCTTTTCCTCTGTGTGTGTGTGTTGTGTGTATGCTTCCCCTGCAGGTGTGTTGCGGAGTTGTGAGGAGTAGCTAATCAGGCGGATTGGTGACACCGGGCGGACAGGTGTGGCCGTCCTTTAAGAGCGTCCTGTTTGGCATCCTCTGGAGAGCGTTCCTTTCTATTTTGTCGATCCCTGGCCAGGACCGAGCGAGTGTGGCGTCGCGGCGTGTTAAGACTTCTTGAGAAAATAAAGAATTGTTGTGACTTTATTGTTACTCCTTTTTTAGGAGTGTAACAACACTCAACTGAGACTGCCCTGCTCTCGGTTATTGAAGCTCTGAGACTGGCAAGAGAAGCTTCCAAATCCTCAGTACTCATCTTGCTGGATCTGTCTGTTGCTTTTGACACTGTTAACCACCAGATCCTCCTGTCAACCCTCAAGACACAGGGCATCTCAGGAACCGCACTCCAATGGTTCAAGTCTTACCTCTCAGGTAGGTCCTTCAGGGTGCTGTCACAACTTCTCCATCCAGATAGGTTCGTCAACCATAACTCCATCCAGGACAGCCAGGAACCTTAGACTTGTGATTGTCTGTTGAACTTTACAGACCACATTGCTAGAACTGCCCGGTCCTGCAGATTTGCTCTACAACATTAGGAGGATCAGGCCCTTCCTTAAAGAGCATGCTACACAACTCCTTGTCCAAGCGCTTGTTCTATCCAGACTGGACTATTGTAATGCTCTCCTGGCAGGTCTTCCAGCATGCACTATCAAACCTCTGCAACTGATCCAGAATGCTGCAGCTGGAGTGGTCTTTAATGAGCTGAAGAGAGCACACGTCACTCCTCTCCTCATAAACTTGCACTGGTTGCCAATCGCTGCTCGCATCAAATTCAAGGCACTGATGTTTGCCTACAAAACAACCACTGGCTCTGCAACCTTATACCTAAACTCACTACTTCAGACCTATATGTGCCCTTCAGAAGCTTGATTTCTCCCATTGAACGGTGCCTTGTGGTGCCATCTCAAAGAGGTACTGTACAAAATTCCTTTCACAGACCTTCACCTGGACCGTTCCCTGCTGGTGGAACTCAACCCGAGCTGCTGATTCTTTAGCCATTTTCAAGAAACCGCTGAATGGCGCATCTCTTTCGTCAACATAATTTTATATACAGTATATATTTTTAAACAACCTTGCTACGTGTACTGTGCTAGACTAACTGGGACTGGTCACAGCACTTGTATATTGCTGCCCTATTGTTAGTTCGATCGCTTCTATTGCTGTCCTCATTTGTAAGTATAGCTTTGGATAAAAGCGTCTGCAAATGTAAATGTAAATGCTGAAGCCAGGAGCCCCCCCCCCCCCCCTCCCTCCCTCCCTCCCTCCCTCTCTCCCTCCCTCCCTCCCTCTCTCCCTCTCTCCCTCTCTTTTTATACAATAATTGCTGTGATTTGGCCTCATTATAGTTCTTAGAAACACATTTGAACTGATGGAAAACGGAAAACAGGAAATGCCTTTGTAGATAATTCCAAAGTTTGCCTTATTCACTTGAGGGTCATAATACAGTATACATAATATATAATACAATATAATACAATACAATACAACACACTCTTTTATGCAGACAATATTCTGAAAAA